GAGCATAGTGAGAACCCAAGTGCGGTTTATTGAAATCCAAACCATAAACAAACAAAATGATGACTTGAGCTAAACTTGGCAATAAACATGACATGACATACCATGACATATATCATATCATATCATATCATATCATATCATATCATGTCATGTCATGTCATGTCATATCATATCATGACCAGAACTCGCCAAACAAAACTATTGTTTGGTACAAGGAACAAAACTAGACCAAAGACAATGGCAACATGAGGGCTATTTATACACAAGACTGACTAAACAAGGAACACCTGTGAACAATCAAGACAATGACTCAATCAAAAAAAAAAACAGAACTAAGAACCACATGACCAAATCAACCAATAAGAACAAGACACATGAACAAGACAACCAATAGCAGGGGCAAGTTCAAGCTCAAACCGTTTTGCTACGGTTTCCGATTTGAAAGACATGTTTCCTGGAAACGGTGTGCAACGGGGTTTGAGATACGTATTTTCTTTTTTGCTGGGTGTGTCAAAAATGTCAGCCCAATCAGCAGCAACATGTATATAAACCACGCGGTATTAAAGAGACAGCTGGCACAATGTAATTAACATCAAAATAAATTCACAAGAGCAAGTATATTGTTTGCACATGTTTATTTACATTAAAGCATTAAAGGCAAACTAACCGAAATAATAAGAGCACAAGTATAGATCTGGAACTTCTTTAAGTCTGTCTAATTGCAATGTCTTCTGGTCCATATCCTTTCCTTAGGAAGGTGTGCTAGACACTGATGTAATGTAACATAAAAATACTATACATATTTATATATTTTGCTATTGTATTGTGGAGTGACACTTTCATAAACTTTTCTATATTCCTCTGATTATATAATGGTAAATATTACAATAACATAGCACAACAACAGTGATCAGCAATAATGATAAGCCTAATACTCACAATAAAAATAATAAGGCCATATAGATCATAACACAGTCTCGGAGGTAAGAAGTGGATTATCCTTCACCTGAAATGTTTGTCTTTTCATCCTGAAATGCGAGGCAAATGTTGGATCACAATAATTAGGAACCACAGTTTCCACAAATCCCTTCACTCGATTGGGATGTTCTCTTTTATTCTGGACGGTAAGGGCAGTGACTGTAACATCGAGCATATTTTGCAGTATTAAACACGTATTTATACCGATTTC